TGTAGTATAGGTTACCATCAATTTTATACTAAATCAACCTGTTAAATATAAATAGTATTACCTTTGAGTAGTAGTAAGGGAGAGTAATAATTGTATTTGGCAAAAGAGTAGCTATTTGACTAAAGAAAATATTCCGCTCATGAACTCATTTCATACTCACAAATTTTCTTGAAAGATATCTGACTACAAAAATTCAGTCTGGCAGAATACTTACCTTGTTAGATAAGAACCAAATATAAGTCATCTAACAACCAAAACGTTATCATAAAAAACGACACAACAAACTTTGGTTAAATTAGCAGCAGACCCAAGGTTTCTATAGAAAACTTACCTCTGTGACTAACCTGAAAACAGATAAACTAGAGATAAGTCACAAAGGTTCATTAAATGTACAACTCAAGTTTTATTTTTACTGTTCTGATTTCCTGCTCACAGCAGATATCTAGATAAACACAAAGTGCTCATTTTTTAATTTCTTTTATGCGGAAATAAAGTAGGCGGGGCTCTTTTCCTATAAATAGGAATTTTACTGTTCAATTGGAACCGTCAGAAAAGCCATTCAGAAAAACAGACTTCATCGACGCTATTAAGATCAAAATCTTTTCAAATTTTAAGCAGTCTTAAATGCAAATGCAGCTAGACTTAAAGCATGATGATTTTGCTACATTTTAGACAAAAAGAAAATTTAATTTAATGTTGATGTCATAGAGAAAAAAAGATATTCTTCAAACTGACAAGGTTCGAAAAATCGGACATCAGTGTAATGCATTTTGCATGTTTCTCAGTGTTCAATGTCTCTCAAACTTTGCACAAATATTCTTCTGTGCATATTATATCTACAAACTTAGCATAAATGTTCCTAGACTCCATAATACATTTTCGAAAAGTCGTAGGTAACCTTTTTTTGTCCATCGAGAAGCATTTCTAATCAAAATAAATGACAAATTCTCAGGCACTTCAAACCAGCAATATTTTTTCTTACACGTATCAACGATGACTAAAGAATTATAACTATTCATGAAAAAACGATTGACGAGCAAAAAGGTCTGATGTTCACCTGATTTTGGAAAATGTCCAGTGTGCTGCTGTTGCATCACTATAGGACAAGATCCTTATTAAAGATACAAAACGATCACTGCAATAAGTTCGAAGTAGATGCGCTACGCACATCTCGATATGCCCCTGGAAATGCACAAGTTGTATTTTCGAAAAATATAATTCCGACTATTGGTATATCGTTAGACCTGGTAGTCATTTTTTGAGAAAGTTATCATTTTTGTAACGATGTACCTATGCAGAAACACACGTGGTAGACTTAATTCGTGGAGTAGTACAAAATGTGTAGGTTTCATATTTTCGCGATTTTGCATGCTGTCACGTATCGCTCTTGTAGAACGGTGCTATAGAGAAACAAACATTGTGTTCGACATACTGCGGTTGAAGCACAGCAATCAGATGAATCTCAGAAAGGAGAAGATTGTACTCAAATTTATTTTTCGAACAAAAATTGTTGCCTGATAGTCTTCTTAAAAGACAGCAAAAAATTTGCATCAGTACCCAGTTAAAACCCAAATTGTACGTTTTGTGATGTATCCGGAGTTGTCTCTAATCCATGTGCTTCTCTTCTTCACATAGTAATAGCCTACGTTTGGTAAGGAAATACGAGAAGTAAACAGTATTATGCGTTTTATACGACTTAGAACTATAATTATGGCGAAAATTAGATTGGCTATTCGATAAGTTTTATCTAGTTGTCAATAGTCCATGTGTTTGATATTCAGCACAAGGTAGGAGTTTGTTTCGTAAGACTCGAATCTGTTGCTAACTTAAGGGGCCAAACGGAGATGGCAAAAAACTTACAAAATGGTACTACATTTTAATCATGGGACATTTACGAAAATGCTTCCATTTTTTTCTATAACAGGCCCAACTAGATTTTGCCGCTGGGTCGTAGCCAGTGTAATAGTTGATACCACGATTTGATAAACTAAAACCAACCAGTAATGCGATATAAACAGACAGTAATATGAGCTATAGTCTTACGTTTCGGGTTTAATAACTGGACTATTATTTTTTCTTTCATGGTAATCTTCTTCCTTATTGCTGTAGGATATCAGCCATGGAGCCGTTAGCCCAAATGTACAAATGCAAAGAAACAATCTGGGCTTTGCTGAAATTGCATTATTGGATAAATCTAACTTGTTATACCAAACACGGTTCAGTATTTGATTAAAACAATTTGTATTTATGAATTTTGAACATCGAGCCGAAATGGCTATCTGAAAAGGAACATAAAATTGTATGGAACCCTCACGAACTAAGATATTGAAGCGTCTTATTGCTTTTTCTTTGAAACACATGTTTATATATACGTGTAGTTTTAAGGGCGAATTCTGGAAACCACAGCTTTAGAACACAACCCCGCAACATTTTCTTTATTAGTGATTTTTATACAGCAGACAAACTGCAGCTTTCTGGACCTTTTAGTGAAAGTAGAGGTACAAGTGACATAAGTTGCGTTTTATGAAAAAGCAACGCACTTGGACGCTTTAGAAAATAACATCAGGGCGTATACTGATTTCGAAAAGTTAAAACTCCTGAAATATACGAAATTGTCTGCTCAGCAATACAACCTTCACCCGATGCAGAACAGTTTTCTGGTTTTAAACTTTGGTTTCCAGAGATCTAGTTTCCACAAACCCACTTGATATCCCTAAATACAGCAGACTTTTGATCTGTGTTTAGTACCATCGATTGCAATAACATTTAGTTCAAGAAGAGATGTTATCCAACACTTCAGGCACCTTTCTCGTCAGTCCTCTCCAGATCAGTTTACCTGCATGCATGTCACATATCCAAATAATGATATTTCTCTCACAATTAATTCACAAGCTTTCTTTTCACTATTTTTATAACATTCGCCGATGCATTAGGTTGCATAGAGCTCGAAGTCAGCTGACTGCCTTTCATACTGATATTTTTCATCTGTTTTAACCGTGGTTGTTGATAAGTTTCTCAAAATGGCCGATGCAACTAGCGCAGCACAAATACGTGATTTTATATGAAGTAAAAATACTTTAGCCATATCCACTCGTCCAGCTAATATTGACCACAGAAACAAATCTCTCAACATTTCTTCTTGGCGATAAAACCGTTTAATAATTATAGCCATAAATATTGCTATTTTCTGATTTTCGGACGGATTTGTATGAATTTCATTCTTAACGCTGCCATTACCATTACCTATCGGTGTTTTATAAACACACGAACAGAAGTTCTTTTTGAATGTGTCCCAATTCTTTTTTTGGGTCCGCTTTAATGTGATCGAAAAAGTTTTGTTCTGTATAGATTGGAAACATATAAGAACCAATCCATTTTATATAAATAGGATCCAATTCTGAAAGACTAGCAATTTTCGGAGCTACGTTGAGCAAAGTAATATGTTTGCCTTTCTAGAGAAAAATAGAAACATACAGACAGAACCTCCGAAGATGCCAAAGGTACGAAAGGCACAGACGTTGCTGCGTACCTCTTTTTCCATGATATATTTATATAAAGCTAAAATTAGCTGATGTGCATATTTCTTTTGAAATTCAAAATCATCACGGTATGGTATGTTGGTTAACTCTTCAATGCGGGCTGCTGTTGCTGACAGTGGATTGATTATGTTGGTAGATCCCATAACTTTCTTTCTACTGTCCCTCTCCTTCACATTTAATTCTGGAAATGTTGTATTGTCATTAGAGTCATCTACAAATGATGTGTAGATATCTCTTGGCTCTATTCTACTATCGATGGTCGGTAAAGTTTCAGCTAATCCTTTCCTCCGCTCTTCCTCTGAGTGCTATGTTTGAATGACCCCTTTTGAAATAGTACCCTTACTCTCTTTCACAAACTGAACTGTATCTCTTGGGTCAAAGTTGAGTCGCAGAAAAAAATCAACAAATTCCGGTCTGTTTTCTTCCAGGGCTGATTTAAATAATTCAGAATACAATGTTGCTGTTGCTACCTAGAAATGTAAGAGAAAACGTTCGAATCGCCAGTCGATTAAAAAAGTATTTATAATGTAAGTATGTACTCATACTGGCTACTAGCTTTTTTTATCATAGTATGTATAATGTTAGTATCTAGTTTTCTATAATAACCTACAAAAATCAATTCTCACTTGCCTGTGGACTTGAGTTCGACGCTTCTCTATCAGTAACCGTCACCGTCACTCTCATCCCTCACCATTTTCTATTAAGTCCTTTTAAGATCCTTAAAGATGAAAAATATGTATATATGAGGTGCTGTCACCTTTTTTTGCGTTCCATACATTCACGGCTCTTTTTGTTTGTTTTCTTTACGTACGGTCAGTATCACTATACGTCGTACGCCACGAAAAGGCATTTTCAGGCATATAAATCTGAGATATAAGTGCTTTGAAAGTGCTAAAAATTCTTGGCACACAGAACGTCGCTTCTCCTTATGTCAGATTAATATGAATCCTTATCTACTTTTATAAAAACAGTGTGACAGAGTAGAAAGACATATGTACAATAAAATGTATTTTTCTCATAGACCATAAGTCAGATTACTCAGATTATTGCTCCACATATGTCAAACTGTAGCTGAAGAATTTCTCTACAAAACTGTGTTTAACGAGGTTTTGTGTTGTAGGTGTGAAACAATATGACCTATCGAACACTAAGACGTTTTCAACCAAAAAGCTTGCTCTAACTCAGCAACCATCCCTAACAGTGGCAGCTAAAAACATTATATTCGTGATTAGCACAATTTTCTTTGCTACTGGCGGTATGTTTCGTCCAACTCTCAAAGTGGCACTTCGAGTGTTCCTTCGAGATTAATATCAGAAGTCAATGTGCATTCTCATAGGTCGATGGATGTGACGAGAAATATGTCAGTTTGTTGTTCACTGGGGCTTTATTAGTCCTGCTTTTATGTAATGGTTAAAATAGATAGTAAATAAATATTTATGTTGCTTTTAGAGAAAGAAAATGTTAAACAAGTGGATAAGATGCCATTGTAGCAATACCGCATTGATTTTTCTCATTTCTGAGCATCCAAATATATCCACCATTACCCCAACCCTCGCCCCATGAATTTTTAACAATATAGTACGGTGTTCCATGTTTTCCGCTAGTTACGTCATAACCAACAGCAAGCACACCATGATCAAGATCAGTTGATGAGCACATCGGTTCATTATAAATACCAAATGAATAAAATTGAAATGAATCCTGTGAGGCATCGATAGCAACTGCAATAGGACCAACGGTTGCGATTGCATTTGTTAAATCTGTTTCATTTCCTTGTTTGACATAGGCGTAACCCTATTGATAAGAAACATAAAAAATATGAGTGTACAGGATATCTTATTGCACTTACAATGACAGTTGCTCCAACATTTTCTGATTTAAAACGACATTTTCTATCCTAAAAGACAAATTGTTACTTTTAAAATAGAGAGAATAGACTTGATTTCTTACCACAGCCTCATAGGGATAACTTTTTTCTGTATCGATTCCATTATTCTCTTTAATGTACTCAAAAGCTGAAATCATTAATCCTCCATCACATCCTTGATTGCCAAATTTATCAGAACAATCAACTAACTGTTGTTCTGATAATGACACAAGTTCATTATATTTTCTAAAGTGTTGTCCTTCTAATGACCCAGTAGCAGAGAATGCCCAACAAGAACCACATTGACCTTGATCTTTCACTTCAGTCACATACCCTTGTTTTCGCCAGTCTAAGAAATTTTTTATCTATAATGTTGTGACAGCAATTCTTTTTATAAGAGAATACTAACCAACAGACACTGGTAAATCCGTATATGATGGTGCCATAAACTCATGTTGATCAAATTCAGTTGCTTGTGAAGCAATATTCATTTTTAAACCATTCATTTGTTTAACAAATTCTCTATGCGTCTTAAAATCAAGGGAAAAAAAGATGAATGGCATAATTGCCTGGCGTTCATGTATACACATACCATATCACCATATTTATTCATTTTCATGGTGTAAGTATGTACACCTAGATCTGCTTCTAAGTTGTGTGTACGAATTTTGGCAAGATTAGCTTCCCAAATATTTCGACTATAGAAATATATCACAAGAACTTCAGAAAAAAATTCAACATTTTTTTATTTTGCTATCCATACCGAGATGTTTCATCTTCATATGATTTGTATTCTTTATTATACACATTTTTGAATAAATTCCAGAATTCATCTAGGATTTTATCATTTGTTGGTGCACAAAATGTACCGACAATAAATATTGTACATAATATAACTAACACTTTCATTGTTAGTGTTTTTCTAAAGCAAAATTTTATTACAAAAATGTAACTCTTATCAGTTTACCTTTCCATGCAGAAATTATAAAACATTTTTCAGTGTATCCACCACTTATATATATATATATTCTATTAGATATTATACGTCATTGTGATGATAACGAAGGATTTCTCTTTTTCTCTTCAATTTTATCGTGTGTATTTGGTTCATTTACAAACGAAAATAATATCAACTTTTATGTGACAAAGTAAATTTAGTCAGAGCGATGATCTTAAAATAGTTTATTTTAACTGTACGCAATTACTTCTGCGCTGGTTGTTCATCTACTAGCTTTACCAGAGAGCCATGAAGACTAACCAGAAAACTATAGTGAGTATGGTATCGGACGGTTTATTTGTTGCACGTAAACACGAATAACTTGCCCACAAGTATTACATATTTTCAAAGTTCAAACACAGTGCCTTCGAAGTACATGACTTACAATAAAACCGTTAAGTCATGCCCGCTATTTTATGAATAATTGATCGTTCTACAAACAGCATTTCAATTATTTCAGTGCAAGAGTATCGAAACTTCGTTACATAACAGCTGTTTCACGTTTCTAATCTGAAACGTCTGATTAATTTCGTTTTTTTGTTACTATTATCTTAGAGCCGTTCGAATCTTATGTAAACAATGGGAGGAGTAGGGGGAATCCGCAAATGATCACTTTTGTTTACATAGGGGAGGGGCCAAAAGATTACCTAATCATTTGCTTAATCATATTTCTTCTCGAAGTCATGAAATAACTTTCTTATATAGAAATTTCTTGTTTCCTGTCATGTAAAATTAGTTTTGAGAATAAATGTAAGAGAAAAGAGTTCGAGTAGTTCGGCAAAATTTAGTTGATAAGTTTTCTAAGTACTTCGACAAGAATATCTTTTATCATTTATTATTATCTTTATCTGTCAAATTTCGACTGCGGTCACTTTTAACAGATATCGGCACATAATTTCTGATAAGGCACAGTGGGCAACAACGTGGAAATTAGGTGGAAACATGAAAGTTAGATTTTTTGAAATTTCAATAGCAGGTCGTATACTTCAGCAAACGCTCTATCTCTTTGCCATTGAAACTATTTTTCTGAGTGCCAAGCTTAATGGAAAAATCACTAAGAAAGACTGGATCGAAAACAATGGTGCTTTTGGAAAACTGGATCATGTGCAAAACCAAAGTAAGCTTGTAGAAAAATAACCATATTCGGAATCAGTGGCAAACTCTCTATCGATTGCTAAAAAGTCTTCCTAATTTTAGACTTTCTAAGCTGAAAGAAAAGCGTATAACATTTTCTAGCGAGTTATTCGAAGAGGGAAGTTCAGTAAAATGCGTGCCCCAGTCACATCCAAGCTCTAATTTTGATGAAACTTTCATCGAATGTTCTTCTATATATTAACTGTTAACAGTGTTAGCACAAATTAGCTCAGCTTCGTAAAACGCTGTGAATTAACAGCAACACCTAGCTTTTGAAATTCCTGCGATTCGTCCACGCTCTGCAAGGTGCATTT